ACCTTTGGGATTGTTGCTGTTTCTTCAAACGTCTTTCTAAAATATGGTGCCTGCTACCAGATACTTCAACGTTTCAACATGCGCAAACGAATGAATACCTGATCCCTAAGGCCTTGCTTATAAATACCTGCTTACATATCCCTCAACACAGGTGGCTTGTGAGCCGCAACATTTTCAAATTTTGAATTATAAAAACAGAACTCAGAGCACCCTCTATCTGAAAAATTGGAAGGCATTAGTTTGAGGCCCACAGAGAAAAGACATCCCTCAGGCCTGGACCCTGACCTCTGCTATAGACAAGATCTTGCAGAGAATAGTGAGGCTGCTAAAAGCGCCACTGATAAGTGCCGAGAAAATATTTAATATTATTGTTTATTATCACTCACACATTAATTGAATGAAGTATTCATTATAATTGTCTTTTAATGATGCCTTCAGAAAGTGTATTTGGTGCGCTTAGTGTTGGATCCTTAATGAATCAACTTAATATTGTGAGATTAGAAGACTATAATAATTATCCAATTCTCTCGGTGACCACATAATGTGAAGCTTAGGAGTTTCCCCCTCCGCCATTTCAAGGTTTGCTCCCTACTGCCTCCACCTTCCACACTTTGGCACTGAGAGATCAATGATTTTTGTTGAGTATGTATGTGTGTCTTTTATAATGTTATAGAATGCAACTATTTGGCATGAATGAAAGAACTTAATAACTGTTTCCCATGTCACTTAGGTGACACCCATATACTGAGAGCTAAGAGTTGTTCCCTGTCCCCCTTTTAGGGACCTGCTTTGTCCTCCTCCCATCATCACTGGGCCACTTTTGGGTTCCTGAGCTATTCAAAATTGGTGAAGGATGCAATATGTGTATTTTAAAGGTTTATGTGAAGAAACCTACATATTGTGGAAAATATGGGGGGGTGGTATAAATGAAAATTGGAATCATGAAATGTCCCTTTATATTCCCCCTGCTACCATCTATCCTGTCAACAACAGTTTTCTTGACTCTAGAAGTTCTTCTCTATGATGCTTGAGTCATCCCTCATATCTGAGAGCTTCGTCTGAACTTGTAGTGTATTATGCAAACTTGTTTTGTCTCCCAGATTGAACAAGTTTGGATTGTGATGATTTCCTGGCTGAAATGTCATATGATGTTTTAATTTCAACATCTGCATATCTTTTAAGTCAATTAAACGTTATGCAGGTAGGCCTAGGGCTCTTTTTGAGACTTAAGCATCCTTCATTACAGATACCATTTGTTCACTAAGTGCACTACGTGCACAAAAAGCTACATGCTACATATATTTATCGTACCACAAGATACTGAGTACAAGTTCTGTTTGCTGTTTCTTGCAGGTCACAAATTTGGTGAGGAGTGGAGCTGGCTGGCTGCGGACGAGGAAGTATAGAGCAATACATACTTGTGCACATACACGTATATGAGAATGCATATCTATTCAGACCTGTAACCCATGTCTTAGACTTTTCACACAGCTATATATATATATATATTTTTTTCCAATTCTCTATTTATGGTTTCATAATGAGTGAGTGAGTTTCAGCTCTAATGCTGTAATATGTTTCTATTTAGATTATTTGTCAGGATATGTTTTTGTTATTATTGTCCGAGTCTGGTTTTAACCAATACTGGGCTTACACCAAAATATTTTCACAGTCACAGACTAAAAACTGAAAGGGTAGCATAAGGGTTCTTCCCGTTAGTCTCGTCCCACCCCTAGTCATGATATAACTTCTGTTGTGATTTGACACTATAATGAATAAAGATTGATTGATATAGCTGTCAATTTTAGTCCTTGAGTTCATAGTTAAGTGCTTTATTTGTTAACTGCTATCAAGGAATATGACTCTCCTTTGTAGTATGCATGAGAGAAGATGCTGCAAGATTAGTGGACTTCTATGTAGTGTCCGCTGAAAATGTAGTGGGCTGGTCTGGACAGAAAATGCCAGGGCTGAATTTTTGTCCCTGTCCACCCCTGGATGAAGCCATGGATATAAAGCCATCTCTAAAAAGTGCAAAATGTCATCTTGATGAGCAGTAAACTGTGCTCGTGGAAAGGTAGGGATTTGTTTAGGACAGAGCAAGCTATCGGGCTGCTGCTCAAGCCTAATGAAAGAGCTGTGTGTGTTTCCTGGAGCAAAGTGACCTCAATAATTGTGAAGGTTTGGATCAACCAAGGCTCTTCCTAGAGTTGAGAGTCCAAGTAACCAGGCAAGAAGAGTTTTGGTCAGGGAGGCAACCAAGAACCAAAGGGTCCATTTTGCATTTCCTTTGCAGGGATGGAAGAAACTAGACAGTAAAGTATCACTCTTGATAGGGCTGCTCAATTAATCGTATTTTAATCGTAATTACGATTATGGCTTGCAACGATTACGAAAACAACGTAATCGAAATCTATTATTTTTTTATTATTGGTNATTGTGGCAAGGCATAGATGAAGCCATGGATATAAAGCCATCTCTAAAAAGTGCAAAATGTCATCTTGATGAGCAGTAAACTGTGCTCGTGGAAAGGTAGGGATCTACCTTTCCACGAGCACAGTTTACTGCTCATCAAGATGACATTTTGCACTTTTTAGAGATGGCTTTATATCCATGGCTTCATCTATGCCTTGCCACAATTATATGGCGAAGGTTTTCAAATAGTCCCTCGTCTCTGAATTGGTTTGTCCTCACAGATAGTGTGAATTCTAAGTCCTTTTTGAATGATGTCCAATCAATTTAATTTGACACAGGTGAACTCCAATCAAGTTAAATATGCTTTAATCATACTGTATATACATACTTTAATTAAGCGAACGGGATGCACCTGAACACCTTTGGGGTGCAAAGGGTCTAAATATTTGAAGATTTCTTTTTTCAGGTAGCCTAATGTGAAAACAATCATTTTGCATATTGAGTGTTGTTTGATAGGTATTATGCTATCAATTTTAGATAAGTATTTTTACATTGGTCTACAACACATTAAAGTGTGCAAAAGTGTTTTGTTAAACCAATATCTGCTGCTGATGCGACTCCAGTTTACTAAGTGTGTGGCTACCTGAGAGGGCGCTGACAAAAACATATGAGTTGAATGTCAATTTGTATGCTTCCTTTTTGCCTGCTTTCACCCATTACATCCCATGAATGAGACATGAGCAGGATGAAGGACACAATGGTCGCTCCACAGTTTTTTGAAGGAGTCCTGCATGTGTTTGAAGGAGGAGGTCATGAACTCCTTAGACAGGCTCTCCATGCCCTTTGGACCCGCGGCCGCGGCTGATAAAAGGCCACTCAGTCCTTGTCAGGGAAATAATAATAAAGTGGTGGGATTTGAAGATACACTCATACATGAGACGCGTTTCCCACTGTGTGTACTGCGATGGTAAGTTATAACTTTAACTTATACCCACTGAAGATGCCAGCTTGTTTAAAGTTGAAAAACAGCTCAGCTATAGTTATTTATGACAGTTATAAAACTATTTATTAAACGCTACTTATTAGTCACTGGCGTTAGCAAATAGCATGTTAGCAACGGTCCATTGTGATTTTAAGGAACTTAATGTCATGTAGCTTTGTAAAACCAATTTGCTTTTTGTCTCCAGCATAAACTTTAGATAATTTATTTCTACAGCGTAGGTTTACATGTAAAGCTATATAATTCAGTAAAGACCTTTAATTGGAGATTGACATTAACGTAGTAAAAGTTAAGCTAGGCTAATGATACTTAAATGTATTTAGATTCTGTGAAACTATATAGTTCAAGAAAATGTCAGAGCAAAATATTGTGCGTTTATGTAAAATTGCCATTTGATGTGGCCAGTTACTAGCAGATAATAATGTCTGCATGGTAGGCTATGGAATAACAACAACAAAAGTAATTAAGAGTTAGTTAACAACAGAGTTGTAATGATGTTTCTTATGACAATTGTGTTAGTATTGTTCATTTAAAAAGTATTACTTAAGGTTTATGCTGTCTCACATTTGGCGACCTCTTTTATTATGTTAACACTTTAATATTAACAAGTGTATGGCCATAAATCTCTAGCAGAAGAAGTATCTTTATTCAGGCATCACTCACATTAAAATGTAATGTACTAATAAGGCAAAGGCAAATCCTACATACCCTACATTCCTACCCATTTAAGCTTCCTCTAGAAATTATAACAAATAGAAAATAAAACCATTAAACAGCTCTATTAACCATTCTTCTGATAACCATAAGTGACTTACTCATTCCTAAATGTATATCAGCAATATTTGGTCATTTAAGCCCAACAATAGAAAAAACATCTCCTTTAGTTCCTTTCCTTTCTATATATTTATGTATTTATTCATATGTCTCTTAAGCTTTTTGTACAGTACACTTACAAACATCCCTTTGCATACATATACTGAAACGCCCCTTTGTACACACTGTGACAGTAATTTAGTTTTAGCTCTGAACATTATTTGCCTATTCATTATAAATCATGTCATACATTTCATAGCATAAGGTTTTATGATTATAAGTTTTGTGCAATCAAAGCATCAAGCCAAGAGATACATCTTGTTTTTGTATAAATAATATTACATAACTAACTATATGGATATGCATAAGTTCCCGTACAGAGCACACAATCTTGCTTAAGTTGATTTATGCACATGGTAAACTAGTTTATTGTCTCTTAAGAATAATATTTATTTTAACAACAATGCGAGTTAAAGCGGCTACACATCAGGCCCCTGTTTAGTGTTTACACAGTCGACCCAGGGAGGCTGCACACATCTTCCGGCCATGTGTACTAATCTCAGGAAGGGGATGTGTGTATGTTTCCTACCAACAATTCTCTAGTCAGTAAGGCCATTGTTAAACATATCTGGGAAACGGACTACAGGGGCAGCACAGATCTTGGGAGACCAAGCGTAGCATGAAGCAAAGACTGCTGTGAAATTGAATGAGAGGTTGATTGTTATATGTCACATCCCGTCAGTGTTTTCAAGAGTGCATTTCGGGTTTCTAAGACGGGAGGGGAGGGACCTGCAGTTAGTTCCCTGTGGGTCCGGCATGTAGTCTGCTGCCGGCACTGAAATGAGCTTCACTGAGAAGGTCACCGATTGTTATTGTTGTTCAGGAATAGTGTGTTTTTTTCTTGCTGGAGGATGAGTTTGCCGTTATAAGATAAGCTGCTCCAGGATCTGTGTACTGTAAGTAAATACTTTCTCTTCTTATTCCAGTCACGAAAGTCATGGATTGAGGAGACCTTCTTCAAGAGAGAGTGTGTGAAGTTTATCCCTTCATCTTGGGACCTGCATAGGTAAACAGATTGCATTGATAATCTTCCAAGAAGGTGTTTAAAGTACAAGTTTTTACGATTCTCAGAAGAAATAAATCTGTGTTAGTAAGTAGTAAGTACATAGTATGATACAAACGCCAGTGCTTGGAAACACATTTTTGAGAGCAAAACTATTTGGCACCCAGCCTTTTACTTCCAGGAATAGAGACCATGTGGATTCTTTGATAATGTGTTATTTCCTATTTCTTACAGATGTATTCCCGTATGTCAAGTATGCCAAAACTTGATCAGGTATAATCAAATAATTCTGTGTTTATTTATGTGTGTGCTTATACCATCTGAAAACCCACTGCATTTCCCTCCTCTGCCCCACCCCCTTTTCCAATGAAGCTGTTTTCTATTAATGGGTCTCTTTTTCCCACACCCTTTATTTGATAATTTTCCCTTTTTCCTCTATTTTCTTATTATTTCCTCTATGTCTTAGTTGAATGACATCACATACTTAGAATAAAACTTAGTGTCAAGGGAAGTAGTAAGGTATTTTATTGTGTTTCCATACCATATAAAGGAAAGGGGGAGGAATAAATGCGGCCGGGCTTAAATAGGCCAGGTGCATGATTGTCAGGTGTCTGTGAATTTGACCAACCATACCTTTTTAATTTGGGGTGCTTTACAAGCAAGTACCTGCTTTTGATAGTTAAAATGAGTGAATGTTGTGTAGAATGAACAGTATAAATGACTCTGAATTCCTCCACCGCCCGCTATGCTCAATTACACAATCTGTCATTGGCCAGATGTTGTTGTGGCCGCCTGATGGGAGAGCACTCTTGGCGAGAGTCCCTTCCCCCCATATCCCTCTATCCTGGGCCAGGACGGGACCTGGTAGAGGACTGGTCCATGGAGCAACACACCAAAGCCAGTCCCACCAATGCCTTTGGGACCGTAGACTTCCAGGACACTGCCACACGTGTCTGCAGGGCCAAGGTCTGTGCGTCTAATAACTGTACACAACATGGTTTTCTGGGGCAAAGAAAAAAAGATTCTTTCCTCAATTACGACACCACATTTATATAACTTAACTCCCTTTATCTATAAGAGAATACTACAAAAGTGAAGGTAAATGCTTTTTAGAGACTGAATATACACACAATTGGCTTATGTTTGTTGTCTAAACAGGCTTTGGCTTGCTATGATCTAAGATAGTGTCTGCTACACAAAACAGTCACACTAGCAGCACTTGAGAAAAGACGAAAAAAAGTTTCAAATGTTTCCTGTGCAGTATGTCCGTGTGGCTGTGGACTCCAAGCCAGAGGTGCTGCTGCAGCTGATGCTGAGGGAGTGGCAGATGGAGAGACCCAAGCTGCTCCTGACTGTGCAGGGGGGGTCAGAAAACTTCACCCTGCCTCTTAAAGTCAAGCAGGCCTTCAGCAAAGGGCTGATCACCGCTGCAATCAGCACCGGGGCATGGATACTCACTGATGGCATTAACACAGGCAGGTGTTAAAGATGGTTGTAAGATCTGTGTGTGGGATATCCTGTATCACTATGAACACAACTTGCACTGTTATCAAATATGCACTCACAAGCATGGCAGTTTAAAGGGGTAGATGGATAGTTTGAAGTGAGTTGTATGAGGTACAAAATGATTTAGATTGTTAGAGGTGGGTGTTTCTTAAAGGTGGACAAATTACATTTGCTACTGCCCTTGTACACAGCAGCACATCGCTTAGCTTCTGTGCTATAACTCTGGTCTGCTTCTACAAACTGGGGGCCTGACAGCAACCATCTTCTGTAGGTCATACACTGAGAATGGATAAGTATTTTCTACGACTGCACTTTAAACAATAACTATCCCTTTAATATCATAACAAGTATCATCTTATCAGTGTTGGGTCTGGTGTGAAACGGTTAAAAAGCCCCATGTTCCATCATGCCTTTATAATGTTTACAAAGGGTACAATTTTGAACTGCATGCCATGTACCTTTCTGTACATGTGAGTGTAATTCCTGATCATTCTCTTGGCCTGTGTAAACTCAGGCCTCTTCATTTGTAAGGATTTCAGTCCATTCATTCTCAATGTCAATGGGTCTGAACTGTGGGGTGTAGATGTGTGTTTTGTCCATGTGTTTGCAGTTGCATATTTAGAAAAATGAACTTTAAGCAGCAGCAAAATGGTTTGAATAATGCTTTTCCTGGTTTATACCGTGGAATTGTGTATTTACTGTTCATTCAGCTGCTCTTTGCACAGGTGTGTCCAAGTATGTGGGCGAGGCTGTGAAAACATTTGGGGGCCACAACCTGAGGAAGAGAAACACAGTCGGCATCACACCATGGGGAGTCATTCACAACAACTCAGACCTTGTAGGCAGAGATGTGAGAACTAAATACGTACATCACTTTATCAACAACATGTGTCAATATTTGTAACGTATCCCAGTGCTTTGTGTCACTATGAGTGACTCCTGGTGGGCTCTGGATGTGACTTTCTCTCGACACGGTTTAGGTATTCAGGCCCTACCAGCCCCTGGGAAACCCATTGAGCAAGAGAGCCTGTCTTAATGGGTTCCACTCCCACTTTCTGTTGGTGGACGATGGGACGCTGGGAAAACATGGCTGCCATCAAGGCCTCAGGAGGAAGCTGGAGAAACACATACAACTACAGAAGATACACCCTCGTGAGTCAGTGTGTGTAATGTACATGTAAAGAAAGAAAAGCTCAGGAGTTTGATGTGACTGATGTTATCTCACCCTCTCCTCCATCTTCTTTGTAGGGCTGAACCAAGGGGTGCCTGTGGTGTGTGTGGTGGTGGAGGGAGGCCCTGCCATTGTGTCCACAGTGTTGGACTATGTTAGCAATGTCCCCCCTGTGCCAGTGTTTGTGTTCGAGGGGTCGGGCAGGGCAGCTGACCTGCTCGCCTTTTTGCACAAGCAGACTGCTAATGACAGGTATGCATGCTTTGATCACTAAATCTACAGTTAGTATGTCTAATGGATCTACCTAAAAGTGTAACATTAATGTTGACTTTGATAATGTTTCTATGTAGCCGCTGTTTAACCTGGGTGACTGTTTAAAAAAAAGATGCTACGATGTCTTGAGAGGACCAAAATGTCAGTTAGTTATTTAATCGACTTTTTGCAACCAGATATTCATTCATTTTAATAATGTTAATGAGGTCAATGCCAGTTTGTGTAAAAAATGCCAAAAATAGATATAGATATATATATATTTTTTGTGATCACATTTTTTTATTTATTAAACAAATGGTACAATCAATAACATAAAATGCAATACAGTACAAAAACAGCACAAAACTAAAGAAATAAACAAAACCCAGTGACGTCCCTAACCCACCCACCAACCCCCCACATTAGATAGTTATCCTAATATGCTCTTGAGGTTCACAATGAGCGAAGTCCACATCTCTATTGTTGACTCCTTTGCCCCGTGTACCCGGGCTGTCGATACTTCTAGATACGATATGTCCAGATATGTTAGAACCCAGACCATAGATATATATTTCTGTATGCCAAATGCTAGGGGGAATTTTCATTTTTTTCATTATTGTTTTTTATTACAGTCCTGGATATGTCAATAGGTGGCAACAACATTCAGACGCGTTTAAAAAATGTCTGAAGTATTAGAGTGTCTAGATAGCAGATAAATATGTTTCAATTGGGACATTGCGTTCCCAAAATGTCTCAAGTGAGTGAGAAGCATAATTGAGTAGACATGTCACAAATATAACTTTTACTGCATTTATCAGGCAGTTGGATGCTGACATCAAAGAGGACTTCCTTTTGAGGATTGGAGACGTGTTTAGAGTCGAGATGGCAGAAGCCTCTCAGCTCTACACTCTCCTCCTGCAGTGTATGGATCACAGACAGTCTGTAAGTGTAACATACAAAAAGTCAAATATTGTGATTCATACATGCACTACTGCCATGAACTCAATATGTTGTTGTTTTTAAACAACAGATAACCATCTTTGACTCAGAGTCAGACGACCATGCTCTAGCCGATGCAGCCATTTTGACAACCAGTCTCAAGGGTACTTATATTTCTCCTTTTTATTGTGACAATAGACATTTTCACCACATACATTTGACATGTTATAGCTGGAAAACCAAAGGTGTAACAATCAAAGCATTCTTTATAGGTTTACTTGTACAAGGTCTGTTAATTTGCAGGCCGAATCGCCCATTAGACTGTATGATGCACTTGAATCGAACTACAATCATTATGTTAGACCTGGGATTTTTCTCAAATAAAAAGGTCAGCGTTGAGAAAGTTAGTTAGTGTAAGTATGCAGCGATATTTTATTTAATTTGATGTTTTCGTGAAATGTATTTGGCTCATAAAAATGCACAAGTCAAGGGAAAAAAAGGAGAAATACAGCAATTCACAATTCAAAACTGAATCTCCATTTACACATCCCATGACCGAAAAAGGAGCAGGGAGAGGATACATCTTTTGTTTCTTGCCCCTTACTCAAAACATATATAGAAACTAGAAATACATGGTCTGTCCATTACGTAATAACATATACTTACAGTAACATGAGTATAAGTGCAATCAGGTGATATGCACAATATTTTAACAGATAAGCGTTCTGTTGTATTCTTTTTGTTCGGCGTGATGGACAGGCACCAAGGCAAGCCCTGCAGAGCAGCTGAGCATGGCTCTGGCCTGGGACCGGGCTGACGTCGCACAGAAGGAAGTTCTGGTGTACGGACAGCATTGGCCGGTAAGACTGTCACTTCGAATCACTAATGTATCTGTGCTTTTATAATATATTATATCATCTTCATATTTTAAATCTAATAACTGTATGCTGGATTTAGGTGGGTTCCTTGGAGCAGGCCATGCTGGATGCTCTGGTGATGGACCGGGTCAGTTTTGTCAAACTGCTGATCGACAACGGCATGACTATGAGCCGCTTCCTTACCGTGGATCGCCTCGAGGAGCTCTATAACATGGTTATTGTAATATCTATATATTTACACCAAAGAAAATGACTAGATGTAAAGGCCTACTTGCCAATATACTGAATTTGGTTTCTGATATATGTTATCTACTCGACTCTCCATTATTGTCACAATGTTTTATTTACATATCTCAGTGGAAATGTAAAGTTAAACAACATTTACTGAAATCAAAAGAATGAACAGTATTTGTTTTAGAATACACTTTCACCCCATGGTACTTTTGTTTGTCTTGTCATTTTATTTACTGGATGTTTTCCCTTAGCTCGCACTTTGCTTCACAAACAAGAAATGCAGTTATTTTATTTGTGACTCTTGAAGCAAAAATACCATAACTGTCGCTGTGATTGAAATCAAAATAATACTTTGTAAGTGTTTTGAAGAAGTATTCTCTGCGTACCCTGGTCAACTGCACTCAGGGTACTTTCCCAGTTGTTGTTCTGGGATGCATTTGAGATCACAAGGCTTTTTGTCATCATTACACTCAGTCTTGGCTTTCTCCGCACTGCCTTTCTCTTTTGTGTATTAAAGCCTGTTTATTTATTCATAACTCTGGGATAATAAGTCCCCCTTAAGAAACAAGCTAAGGATCCCAGGACTGCTTCTGTGTATGCAATATGCAACGGTGTTAACAAGTAACCAGTAGATCTCTGGTTGTTGATATTTTCCGTTTATTTGTTTGTTTCTCCTGAATAATAATAGTCGTTTTTTTCCGCAGCCACAGGGGCAGACCGACTGTTTCTTGCATCACCTTGTTGAAGATGCCACGAAGGTGAGTAATAAGAACGTATTAAATCATATACATATTAAAATAAAGAAAGCACTGTTTACTCAGACATTCTCAGCCATTTCACCAATATCAGCTGCATTTATGTTATTATTTCTTTCTAAATGTACCATGGCAACCATATCTACATTATGCCTTTAACCTCATCTCTGTGTGTGTGTGTGTGTGTGTGTGTTGTGTTTGTGTGTGTGAGTAGACTTCTCTTCCCATAGGTTACCGTCTCTCTCTCATTGACATGGGCCTGGTGATCGAGTACCTAATAGGAGGAGCGTACCGCAGCAACTACACACGCAAACACTTCAGAGCTGCCTACAGCCGCCTGCAGGATAAAGTGAGCCCTGATTAATAGAGTTCTTTTTTCAAAAATGCTTTGACTTGGTTCTTGTCTTGGGATTATTCATTGCAATTGACCTTTTGTACAAATCTCCTCATTGTTGTTTCTGTGTTTGTGTATAGGAGGGCAGACAGGGCAGTTCCGCCCCCCGTTCTAGACAGAGACGGGGATTACCACAGATCTCTACCAAGGGCAGGACCGTCCAGGACCTGCACTTTTTCAGAACAGCTCAGCCATACAAATTCAAGGTTGGTGGGGAATATCATGGAGGAATTGAATTGATGGCCAAAGGTCAATGTCACTGGGACCTCAAAAACATGGCCAAATCAATCACTAACATGCTAATTAAGACACAAATGTCACATTTTATAAAAACATATCATCATGATATTTTTGACAGGCATGGATGTTATGCACGTTTACAGATTCTCTTAGGCTACAAGGCTGTAATGTTGTTGGATTAATTCTCTGGACCTGTATAATTCATTGTTTGTTAAGCAATCATATTGTTTCTAATAAGCACCTTTTGGTTATCTAATGCGGCCTTATGTTATATCATACATTTTTTTGCCTTTCTGTCTCACTCTCTTTACTCTTTTGTATTTCCCTACAACATTTCTCCTTCTTTTTCACATTCCCTTATGTATTGATTTGTGGATACCTCACACTTTTCCATGTAGGAGCAGGATTTTTCAACGGGGAACAGTCGAGAGGTCAACCCGATCCCGGGCCTTGTTAATACTCCACTGCTGATAGCCTTCAACTTCAACGACGTGTTCGTATGGGCTGTGTTTCATCAGCGCCAGCAGATGGCGCTGTTCCTGTGGCAGCACGGCGAGGAAGCGCTGGCCCGCGCTACAGTGGCCTGTAAGCTTTACCGCTCCATGGGCTTTGAGGCGAGGCAGGGAAGTATGGACGACAACATCTCAGAGCGATTTAAGAAATACTCTCTGTGAGTCAGTGTGGGTTTTTCTGTCTGTGTCAGTAGACAATCTATGGGGACAGTTGCAACCAAATAAAGATGTGTCGTAACATGATAACAAAAAAAAACCAATCAATAATTTCCACCTTTTCTCAGTATTTGATTGTGTAGTGTGATTCTGTGCATTTCAAGTTCTTGCGTCTTGAATTTACCAGTAGTATTGGCGGGTTAATCTTCTGATGATTATAAATATAATAGTTTTTTTATATTATGCACATATTGCAATTGTTTGTATAAAAACATGCAAATGATTGCATGTGCCTCCTGTCTCTGTGTCTTAGCGAGTTTGGTCAGCTGGCGGTGGACATGTTAGACTGTGCGTTTCGTCAGAACGAGCAGATGGCCATGAAGCTGTTGACTTCAGAGATGGAGGCATGGAGCCACTTCACCTGTCTGCAGATGGCTGTCTCCTCATGTCACAGACCATTCGTCTCACACTCCTGCACTCAAACGCTGCTCACAGACCTCTGGACCGGTCCGCTCAACATGAGGAAAAACTCCTTTGTGAAGGTACATAGAGTTGACAGATTTCATCCTTGTCTTAGTCTATGATGTATTTGTATCACAGTAAAAGACAAATTAATACTTAATTAATAGAATGGTTTTTGAAGAGCGCAGTCCTCCAACAAAGGCAAATGCTGCATTCAAGTGCTTCTTGGATGGCCCTGTTTCCCTGAGTTTGGAAGTGGTTGTTCTGTGTATTTATGACCTTGGACATTTGGAAAGAAAATCGATGTATCAAATTGAGCGGGCATTCAGATACATTTTTCCTAGTAAGAAACTACATTCCCCAATAATTGAAATGCAGCACAATTGCCCTTTCTCTCAAAGTTAACTGAAGTGAAACTCAGTTTGTTAAAGCCCTGTGATTCAGATCCTTTCCTAAATGTCAAGGGTTCTTACTCAGTCCATGCGTCACCCTTCTGCCTAGTTCCATAAACATCTTGCCAGTCATTTTTATGTAATTTGCTGACAGATAGGCAGACTGGTATAAAACTTGACTTAAAGTGGACCTATCATACTATATTTGAAATATACTGTATATTGTATGGCCATACCTATATAAAACATGTCTGTGAAGTTTTTTTTTCAAAATACCAAACAGATCATGCATTTTAGCCATGCCTCATTTCGCTCTATTTGCTCTTTTCCAGCCCTGTTTTTGCAAGGGCTGATTCTGCTTTGGTGGCAGACTACAGCGCCACTTACAGGCCTGGCATATGTACTACAGCGTCTCCAGCGCTTTCAAGCGGTCTCTCATTCCCCTGATAGGTGGAGAGTTGCCCATATAGGCGGAACACCCCTTTTCTGACGTCATAACAATTCAAATAATAATCAGCTCCGTTGCAGCCCCGTTTTTAGAGATTTGGGTATGGAGGAAAAGAGAGAGGGTTGTGTTTTCTGACACTTGGTGAGTTCCCTGACACACCGGGGACACATATTCATGTATAAAAGACGTATAAAAGTGCATTTTG